TATTCCAATCTGCATCATTGTATCCTTCAAGTACAACAGGAAATCTCTGATAATGTAAACTGAGATTCATGGTCCTTTTAAGGTACCGTATGACTCACTCAAATAGCTTGTCAATGTTCATTACTCGGTCTACTAATAAATCCGCACAACAATCCTACGACATATGCAATGTCGGGTTTAGTACAATCAATGGAATACCTAAGACTTTCAATGATGCTCACATATTCTGTTTGTCTAACACTTTCACCAGTGTTCTTAAACAGCTTCACGCTTGGATCATTTGGTGTGCTCACAGGTTTACTGTCAAAGTAATTATATTTCTTTAAGATCATTTGGCCAAGAATTATTGGTACAGACAAGACAAGGGATCGAAAGGCAAGGACAAAGGAGAAAACCTTGCACGCCAAGATTCAGATGATTCTAAAGGTGGTATGATGGTTATGGCTGCAATTGCAGATAACCATGCTGAATCTAATATCTGGTTTCTCGACTCAGGTTGCTCGAACCATATGACTGGTCGAAAGGAGTGGTTGGCAGATTTTGACGAGTCGAAGAAGAGAAAGGTAAAACTTGCTGATAATAGTTCATTACAAGCAGAAGGTACTGACAACATAGTCTTTCAAATGAGTAATGGAGGGAAAGCTATGATCAAAGATGTGCTCTATGTACCTGGAATGAAATGCAACTTGTTAAGTGTTAGACAACTAGTTGAAAAAGGTTTCTCAGTTGTCATGAAAGATGGAGTTTTGAAATTGTTCGACACTAAGAACAATTTGGTTTTGCAATCTCCATTGTCGAAGAACAGTACATTTAAGACTATGATCAGTTCGACATAAGTTCAATGTTTGAAAACTGTTGTCGACCACAAGGATAGTTGGTTTTGGCATTTGAGGTTTGGACATTTGAATTTTCGATCACTTAATCAACTGCTTACTCAAGATATGGTTACTGCTATTCTAAGTCTTGAGATGTCTGAAAAACTTTGTGAAGGTTGTTTAGTGGGAAAGCAATCCAGAAATTATTTTGTTTCGACTATGTCAATGAGATCATTCTGCATTCTCAAAATGGTGCATTCAGATGTATGTGGTCCATTTGAAGAACATACAATTGGTGGAAACAAATATTTTGTTTCCTTTGTCGATGAGTTTAGTCGAAAGCTGTGGATCTATGTGATCAAACGAAAGGACGAAGTATTCGAAATCTTTAAGAGATTCAAGATACTTGTCGAAAACTAGAGTGAGAAAAAGGTTAAAGTTCTACGAACAGATGGAGATGGCGAATACATATCCAAGATGTTTGAAGATTTCTGTGCAGAACATGGTGTTCATCATGAGGTAACTGCTCCTTACACACCTCAAAATAATGGAATTAATGAAAGAAGAAATAGAACCATATTAGATACGGCAAGATGCATGCTGAAGCAAAATAATTTTCCAAAATCTTTATGGGGAGAAGCTGTTTCGACTGCAGTTTATATTTTGAATAGGTGTCCTACTAAGATATTGAAAAACAAGGTTCCTGAAGAAGTGTGGAGTGGAAAACGAACATCAGTAAGTCACTTGAAGGTGTTTAGCTCTATGTGTTACAAGCATGTTCCTGATGCAAGGAGAAGGAAGCTTGATGACAAGAGTGAACCTATGATTCTGGTAGGATATCACAAAACTGGTGCATACAGACTATTTAATCCAGTTAATGAAAATATTGTGTTGAGTCGAGATATTGTGATTAATGAAAATTCTTCCTGGGATTGGAATTCTAGCAATTCAATTAACAAATCATTAATGAACTCTGATTTCGACGAAGAAACTAATGAAGTAGAGGTCGAAGGAATTATTGAGAATCTAGTCGAAGTTGAAGAAGAAGCGGTTGCTGACACTCCCGTCACAGTAGAAGTCGAAGAGGGTGTGGATGAAACAAGCCAAAGACCTCAAAGAAATAGAGTTCTTCCAACAAGACTTCATGATTATGAAGTAATGGGTGATGATGAAATCACACCAGATGGAGAATTAGTTCATTTTGCTTTACTTGCAGGTGCTGAACCAATCAACTATAGCGAAACTTTGAAGATTAATAAGTGGAAGTTAGCTATGGTCGAAGAGTTACAGGCATTCGAAAGATACAACACATGAGAGTTAGTCTAATTGCCAACACATACAAAAGCTATCGAAGTAAAGTGTGTGTTCAAGTTGAAACACAATGCAGATGAGTCAATAGCAAGACATAAAGCAAGATTAGTAGCTCGAGGTTTTCTTCAAAGAGCAGGACTTGACTACTCTGAAGTATTTGCTCTAGTAGCAAGATTAGAGACTGTTCGACTAGTAGTAGCATTGGCATGCAACCAAGGCTGGTCAACATTTCATCTAGATGTGAAATCAACATTTTTGAATGGTCCTTTAGACGAAGAAGTTTATGTCACACAACCTCCTGTGTTTGTGATTCAGAAGGAAGCGAGTAAAGTATATAGATTGCACAAAGCGCTCTATGGCCTCAAGCAGGCACCTAGGGCATGGGACAGAAGATCGACTCATACTTAGTCGAATTAGGATTTTTCAAATGCAAATCAGAGTATGGTGTTTATGTTCAGGTTGTAGCACAAGATATAACAATCATCTGCTTGTATGTTGATGACTTGCTAGTAACTGAAAATAGTTTGGAGAACTTGTCGAAGTTCAAAGAGTTGATGACGAAGGAATTTGAAATTTCGGATCTAGGAAAATTGTCTTATTTTCTAGGCATGGAGTTTCAAATGTCGAAGCAAGGTATGGTGCTACATCAAAGAAAGTATGTCAAAGAAATACTTAAGAGATTCAAAATGGATGATTTGAATTCTGCATCCTCACCTGTCGAACCATATGTGAAGTTGGAGAAGAATGAAGAGAAAGACAAAGTCGATGCAACTTTGTTCAAGCAAATTATGAGATCTCTGAGGTATGTGTGCGATAGTCGACCTAATATAGGTTTCGCAGTCGGATTAGTAAGCAGATATATGGATGAACCAAGAGTGTCACATATGAAGGCTGCAAGAAGAATCCTTCGATATTTGAAGGGTTCAATAAATTGTGGAATACTATTTCGACGAGATTCTGAAGGAAAAGAAGCAATAGTTAATTGTTTTTCAGATGCTGATTCGTGTGGAGATAAGGAAGATCGAAGAAGCACAACTGAATATTTCTTTCAAGTATTTGGTGCCCCAATCTCATGGTGTTCGAATAAGAAACCTATGGTGGCATTGTCATCGTGTGAAGCTGAATATATAGCGGGATCCTATGCTGCATGTCAAGCAATTTGGATCAGATCTGTACTTGAAGAAATGACCGTCGAAGTGAAGAAACCTCTAGTATTGCAAATCGACAACAAGTCTGCCATAAATCTGGCGAAGAATCCAGTTCTGCATGGAAGAAGTAAACATATTGAAGCAAGGTTTCACTTCTTGAGGGAAAAAGTAAATCAAGGTGAACTTGAAGTTAGGCATTGCTCAAGTGAAGCACAGTTGACCGACATTTTCACCAAAGGATTGAAGATCGACATATTCCCGAATTTGAGAAAGAAATTAGGAATAGTTCAGATTGACTATTTTTGAGGATGTTCGACAACTTGGATTATGGGGGTGTGTTGAACTATTAAATCAGATTAGATTTGATTAGATTTAATATTTAATATAATCCAAGTTGTGTTAGCCCAAGTCTAATTAGGGTTGTATATAAATAGTCATAGTGTGTATCATTATTTGTACACTTGAATAATACAAATCCTCATTTTCCTTTATTATTCTCTCTTTCTCTCCTCACTAAAAGTACTTCACGCACTAACAAATATCTTATTTAGATTTGATTTGTTTTTTGATACAAATTAAGATTTCATTTTTCTCCAATAAAGGTTAAGGAGAGATTACTTGTAGGTCACGCTTCACTGAGATCCTATATATATATATATATATATATATATATATATATATATATATATATATATATATATATATATATATATATATATATCTTTCCAAGCACAGAAACTAAACCATTCACTTCTTACAGAGAAATCAAACTGGTACTTTCTTTCTTCATTTATTCAACCAATCCTACAATCACAAGCATACCATGATTTCTGAAGGCTACACTTTTCCAAGATTCATATATCAAGAAACCCTAAATAAATTCCACAATATAACCAAACCCATACAACTTCATCCAGATACACGCTTCCATATTATCCATCACCAACCCTTTTACGGTCTTCCAAAGGAGTTGACTGAAACCATTGACAAACACAACTTGAAAATCTTTGTCGAACACTCTTTTGATAATTATTTGTACGCTCCAATAGTTCAAGTATTTTACTCATGCACTCTTGATCGCACTCAAAAGTTTGTTTTTGTAAGAGGGTTTCCTGTGTATTTTACCCCAAAGTACATAAACTTTCACTATGGACTCATCAACAATCCTGAATGTAATGATGATGACGACATAGTAAATGAGTATCAAGATTTAAATAATACTGTCTCTGAAGAGAAGCTTAGTTCTATAATGAAAACCCTAACAGTAGAGGGTACTGATTGGAAACAAGAGAAAGGTAAGAATATTTTGAAGGTCTCATGGGATGCTTTGAAGCCGGTACCTAAAGTTTGGTACAAATTTATTTGCGCTAGGCTTTTGTCGAGTTCGGATTTTGAAGATGTTGATAGAGATAGATTGTTGTTGCTGCATTGTATTCTTGAAGGACGTAGTATCAACATGAGGAAGATTATATATGATGAGATTATTGATTGTGCTTTTAAGACGAAGGCGACAGATAGATTGTTGTTTTCTTCTCTTATTAGTGACTTGTGTATTAGAAATGGGGTTCATACTGAGGATGATAATAAGGAGTAATATTTTTTAGAAAGACATCATAAGTATCATGATGTTGTGTACTTGACAATTTTTATTTATTAAGTATTTGACATCCATAACTAGCATGTATGCTACAAAAGCAAGTGAGAAAAGCAAGTATAACAGAAATGATCAGTTAGAAATGTTGGAAGCACTACTCCATAACGATTGCTTAGTTCCATGATACATTGGCAATGACCTCTCTTCTGATGACACCAAGTTTGGTAATCTACTGATATTGGAAGAACACAAGAAAGTCTTACTTGTGTTATCAATATCAAAAACCCCTCTAATCCCTTCTTGCAGGTATTTCAATTTAACTTCTTCTTGTTCATCTTCATTTTACGAATTTAGATTTCTCTGCATTAACTCTTTAAACATCGAAGATTTTAGGAGAAGTCCTAATGCTGTTGGTGAAGATGGCTTATTGCAAGGACTTAAAGGGATCATAGAGTTCGAAAACTTTTGCTTCTTTGTAATTTCAACTTGCAAAAGCTTTTTTGGATTGACGATTGAGTTGGACGCATCGATGTTTCCACTTATTTGGATTGAGTTAGAGACTGCAAATGGTACTTGAGGTTCTGTGCTTGGCTTTTGTTCTTGTGGTCCTGGTCGTAACCATCTGATGTAAGTGCTTAAGTCAAAGTTTGTCACTGCATTTATGCCTCGATACTCAATGGCCGCAATATCATACGCGCGAGCCGCCTCTTCTTGTGTACCTTTACATAAAAAATACATTTATCACATCAGTTATCTGATGACAACCTCACAGTCACTTCTGTAAAAAAAATCCGCCGATATGGCTTAAAATGAAAACTTTGAATATGGACTATCTAATCTTCATCATCCCGATATTTGTTGCCAGAAACTCACCATAAGTCCCAAGGTAGAGATACTTGTTGCCAAAAACTCTTCCAATTCTTGCTTCCCATCTTCCATTGTGATGGTGTCTGCAGCAAGTTTTCATAGTTACAATCTTATGTTTGAGTGAGAAAGATAGTAAGTGTCTCACCTTGCTACTCCTCTATATTTTGATACACCTCTGGAAAAACCACTGCTCCTCCTATAACAAGAAAAGAAAAGAATACATAACTTGAAAAATATCTAAAACTTTAATGACAATTCTTCTATATGAAATGAGATTTACCTTCTCAAAGAAGCAAGATACTCTTCTTTGCTCATATTTATCATTACCTCAATTTCTTTCTCGTAGTCCGGTACCTATGTTCGAAATATGAATAACAATTACAAAATAAAAACATCTGAGAGCAAGGAAAATACTAATATAGACATTTATATATTGAAGTATTGTTGCGTAACATACAGGAAAATTTGTAAAAGTCGATGTTCCCCAATACTTGAGTGCAGCCAAATCATAAGCTCTAGCAGCAGCTTCTTCATCATTATAAGCACCTACACAAAAACCAAAAGTAAAATCCAAAAGATTAATTAGTTTCTACAATATATATGTCTTGTACAGTAAGAGAACATATATGAATCAAACTGTTGAACTACTTACCCAAATATACTGTTCCATATCAGCAGAAGCATCAAATCCACATTTACAACCACAATGCAATGAACAAGTTGTTAGAAAATAAAAAACAAAACAAAAAACAAACTCAAAACAATGCATTCAAAATCTACCTTGCTTTCCTTTTTTCTTTTGAGTAGGATTCCATGTCCCTTTATCCCATAAATGAGCTTCATACCTTCCGGTCCATCTATGTCTGCATCACAATAATATCCATATTAGCTCGAAATCAGGACTGTCTTTTAAGGGCGTGCGAAACAAGTTACCTCACAGGATAAAAAATTTGACACAGTTGAACCATAGTTAAATAGAATTTTATAAAATATTTGTTACGATTAAACTGTGACAAAATAGAATCCCTATTTATTTTGCCATACTAAACAGTTGTTAACGTACACATAGGGTCTCCAAAAACTTAAAATGTCACTGTAAAAAAACAAGATATTTATAACATTATCACCTACCTACTAACACCCCTAAACTTTGAGCTTCTCTTCACAGTTGTTGCAGTGGATTGACCACTCAATGGCTGCTGTATTTCTGATACATCACTTCGTTGTTCATTCCCTCCTAACACCGACGTATCTCTTCTTCGCCTTTTTACACATTTAGTACTTGGAATAGAATCATTATCCAGCATGAGAATTCTATGACTTCTTGGACTCAGTTCAGATTTCACAGTGGTAAGCTCCATGATTAATATATGTTTATGGTTCATGTTGTGACTTTATAGTTTTATAAGCTATACAAAATTTGTTTCATACTTATGTTGTCCTTTTGTTATATTAACTTGTTTTTGGTAATAAAGACATTGAAATGTCGATAATAACATTACCATAAAATAAATTTAGTTTTGCCAACATCACAAAAAACAAAGAACTTGTAGCAAGACATTATGATTAGTGAGGAATAAAACATAGTTATCCAGATTGATGTAGTGCAACATTTTACAAGAACTATCCACAACATTGCATTGATATAATCAATGTTTACAAAAGTTTATTGTAGGAGTATTTGTAATTTGGTCACTTCCATATCCGTTACAGAAAGTGAATTCGTATCTACTCAATATAAAAAGTTGATTAGAGTTACTTTTAGAATACAATATTAATATTAATCAATTATAATTTATGACGTCATATTAGATGAGTCTAGACTCCCATAATGTAGCATTAATCTATGACGTATCCACATTTAACCGCAACAATGCCTGGTATAAGATTATATTAGAGAGAACTCATGAAAAAAAAAAAACTGAAATTAATAAAAAGGAAAGTTATAACATTTAGAAAACAAGACAAGAGAGTTTGGCAAATTGTGAAGGATGAGTCCAATATGTCCATTTAGCATTTTTTTGTTTTTTGTTTTTGGGATAACAATATACAACGTTTCTGGCTTCTTCACTAAAGGTGCAAAACATAATATGTCCATAATGAAAGTTGTTAAAGTAAATGCCTCGTACATGTCGTCCATAAGATGTAGTAGTTGTCTAGTAACCAATTTGCGCCAACCAACGTGTATATAGTAGAAAACAGAATTTATTCCCTGCGCGGAGCTTTATATAATCCCTATGAAATGGAATAATAAAGTTGGAGACATAGGTGAATTTTATTATTTTAGAAGATTTTGGCGAATCAAGTGATTATCAATTTTAATATATTTTGTTTGCTCATGGAAAACATCATTGTGAGTAATTTGAATGGTACAACAATTGTCACAATAAAGTTTCGTCGTAGAAGGTTGAGATGTCTCTATATCAGCAAGAAATCAATGAGACTATAATATCTTAGATGTCGTATCAGCAAGAGTACGATATTCAGCTTCAGTGTCAGCGCGAGCTGTCAAAGTTTGTTTCTTGCTCCATCAAGAAGTAAGAGAAATTTCAAGGAAAATACAAAAACATATGGTAGACCGACGATCACTTGGATCACTGGTCCAATCGACATCCGAGTAGGCACTAAGAATCAAGGAGGATGCAACTGAGTAGTGTAGACCATTAAACATGGTGCCCATAATATATTGAATAATTCAAAGGACATCACCATAATGAATGGCATGTGGAGAGGCCACGAATTGACTAACCAAATGAACAACATATGATATATATGGTCTTGTAACCGTGAGGTAAATTAATTTACCTCTAAGTTACCCATACTAAAAAATATTTTTTAAACTTCAAGACAAACATAAGCTTTACATTTTAATACCACTGTTTGCATATCACTAAGTATTTGACAACAGAGAGATTCGCATGACGAATATTCAATGAATGAAGATCCTCCCGATGGACATAATTACTTCAGATGATGTGTCAAAGAGAAAGGCACTTCCAATAACAGGCCTTTCATGGACCCAATTGGTTATAAATCAAGGGGAATGACATGTTATTGTCCAACTCATTTGTGGCAGTCAAGTCAAGATTCAAAGAATCTCTCAAAAATACTGAATAGTCAGGGGAAGATCTCCATCTGAATCACTTGGGGCATGTTACATTGATCATGAGTTTCAGTAAAATCCATTATCTTCGGTATCACCAAATTGCTTGTCTATGTCAGTAATATCAAATGGTGTCATTCTGCCATGAAAGTTCTTAGAAAAATATTGAGAAAGGTCAAGATTATTGGAAAATTAACAATCAATGGTTGATCAATAACTTCAAGCATCGGGTGCACCAGACTAATCCTAGGGGAAAATAAATTCCCGCATACGAAGTGCCACATATGATGAAGAAAGTATTTTCTGGCAGTGCTACAACACTTATTACCATGGATAGTGAAATTTCTCTGCACCATGTGAACACAGACGTAGTCAAAATACTACGCATAAAAAAGAGATCCACTAGGTTGATTGGCCTAGGCAAAAATAAGGGCATCCCGATAAACTAAAAGAGTTCGGACAAAAATTAGGGATATATAAATAAAATTATACACTCGGCAAGTCGAAAATTTGAAAAGACGGCTTGGCCGAGAAAGGGTATCCCGGTGGACTAAAAATATGAAAAGATGGTGCAGGCAAAAGTTAGAGATTAAAGTGTATGACTATGTCTCGTTTATCAGTAGAATATTTATCACCGTGATCAGTATTTGCTAAATACTTTAGGAATTGGGATAATGTTCAAAGTTATCCACAAATTCGCACAGAGCAATCTCTATAGAACTATCTCTACGGAGCTATCTTCACAAGCTCATCCCCAACAGATATATATTCCCCAACAAATCTAATATGCCCTCAGACAGAAATTGGGGCATCTTCTGGCAGTTCATCTTCCCCAATACGTCCCCTAGTAGATAAGGAAGTTTAATCATTTCCCTAACACAATACAGCGTACAGAGTTTATTTCCTCAACAGAGTTTATTTCTCCGATATTGCAATTCCCAGACAAGATTCTCTTCTCTAACCAAATATCATTCAATGTTGTCCTCCCTAGAAGAGCTAATACTCATATCTGAAACTTTTTCAAATAGTGTATCGGAGGATTATTCATCTTATTTTATCCCCAGTCAGGGTATATAAGAATCAAATCCTTCCAAGAACAATAAATGACCGACTCTCTTTGAATGCTTCCATCCCCAAGCAGAAGTCGAACATCCCCAGCTGGGTGTCCTCAAACAGAAATCAGAAATCCCCATTAAGGACGTTCTAAACAAAAATTAAAGAACTACTGTCTTCATCCTCAGCAACAGTCATGGATTTATTTTCCCTAGCCAGACATTGTTACACGAAGCTACCGATACGCTCCAACGACATATTGCATCCATACATCATTTACAAGAATACCATAACACATGCATACGAAACGCATATAATATTCTTATTTATTTTGGTAAGCATCATTACGCAATGCATTACATACATCATGACATTGCATAAAACTAACTTTGTCTTTTCAGGTTAAGCTCACAAATAGATGAATATTATCAGCAATTAAGAGACATGTTGTAGATCAACTCCCGAAATAGGACGGGGCGACTATCTACATGACCAGATGATTTCCTTCAGAAACTAATTCTGAAAAGCATTTCCTTCAGAGATTTATTCTGAAAAGTATTCCCTCAGAGACTGAATTCTGACGAGCATTTCCTTCAGAGATTTATTCTGAAAAGCATTCCCCGCAGAGACTTAATTTTGACGAGCATTTCCTTTAGAGATTTATACTGAAAAGCATTCCCCTTAGAGACTGAATTCTGACGAGTATTTCCTTTAGAGATTTATTCTAAAAAGCATTTCCCTCAGAGACTGAATTTTGACGAGCATTTTCCTCAGAGATTTATTCTGAAAAGCATTCCCCTCATAGACTGAACTCTGATGAGCATTTCCTTCAAATATTTATTCTTAAAAGCATTCCCCTCAGAGACTGAATTCTAGCGAGCATTTCCTTCAGAGATTTATTTATGAAAAACATTCCTCTTAGAGACTGAATTCTGACGAGCATTTCCTTCAGAGCTTCACTCTGAAAAGCATTTCCTTCAGAGATTCATTCTGAAAAGCATTTCCCTTAGATAAGATATGATAGATTCATTCTGAAAAACATTTTTAAGATAAAGTCAAGCGTAGACTCATTCTGATACTCCTCTCAACAATTACTTTGAATGGCATCTATAAACCCATCTCCGATGATTCTCTGTCACCTTTTACAAATGACATCTTTAAGCCCATTCATTCAATCAACCAAAAGTGTTACTTCGTGCACATGTGAGTGCAAATTTCTGGGCACTTAAGGATTCAATCCTCTTCCACCTTCGGATCACGAATGACGAGCATGCCAATCTAAATCTTCGGGTTTAAGAAGATTAAACATGGGCAGCTGTTGTACCCTAAAAATTTTCCTCCCATTTTTCAAGACGAATTAATTCAAGATACCTCCTCATGTACATGAAGGTCTCAAACACTCAAGACTACTCAAGAGTTGACCAGACAAACCATCCTCTTAAGTAGTTGACCTACAACTAGGGTTTCACATTTCTAAAAGGAAATTGGACTTCTAATTCCTCAAGTGGATTTCATGGTTTCTCATATGTTTCAAAGTATCTTCATACCAAATTTCAAGCCTTGCAGTACAAGTTTGCTCAGTTAATTACTCAGATGATTGAAAATCAACTGTATTACACAAAGAGTCAACTTTGACTAATTTACAGACAAATTTCAAGATTTTTGTTCAACATCAATATTTTGAAGTCACATTCATCATTTAATCAAGGATTGATCATGATTCATCAAGAAAACTCAAGATTCATCAAAAGTCAAAAGTTATTATATTAGGGTTTTCTTTAAGAGAAGTCAACAAAACTTTGACCAAGCATAACTTTGATATACTTCATTAGAAAATTCCCAAAAAAAAATCTAATTTTGAATGAAATTTAATTCTCTACAACTTTGTCTCTTTAAGCTCAAGGCCAAAAATACTTCATTTGAGAGATATGTGTCAAAACATTACAAGTCATTTTAAATGTCAACAAAAATACACTTTTTGTCAAAGTATTTTACATCAAGATAAAGGCTTCAAATGGAAAAATGAAAAACATGAAAGTTGTAGGAGACATCTTGAGCTCTCCAAAAAATTCAAAGATCACCTTCACATGACAAAAATTGAGTGAGTTATGATTGGTGCATGTTCGGAAATTTTGAGGAAATGCATAAAATCCAAATTGAGCAAATTTGAATTTTTGGGCTAATGGGCCTATCTTTTAAAGTCCA